ATGATTCATGATTTTTGAAAATGGTCCATCTCTGGGTAGATGCGGTGTAGTGCACCAAAAAGCGTGGTGCATGTTCTGGATGAAGAGGCAGCAACGCCCTTTACCAAATTCAAGGAATGCCATCCCCATTGTAGAAATCTCTCTCTCTCTCTCTCTCTGGCATTTAGCTCGAGGACCCCGGCTTGATTTCCTTTTTGTTGTTTTCTAGAGTTTCGAGTAGAAGATTAGTCATTCCCCCACCCGTCGATAAAGAAAGTTCACATTCGAAAATTTTACGCAATTAAATGTCATTCCAGAATTTTGCGCCCCCATCAATTTGGCGCCCAGGGTAACCGCCCCTCTCGCCCCGCCCTAAAGCCGGCTCTGGTTTCATCCAAACCACCACACAAGCGCACGCCCATGCAAAGAGGTACCAGCCCTTAGTTGCCAATTTAGAATTTAATTTGGCACATTTTCTGATACTTCGATAAGGGCACGTACGCTTAACTGCACATTGTTCATTTATGTATGCATGTACATATGTACTGGAAATGGCCCATTTTTTTATTAACCTATTTGCCTTGTGCACACATTGCTCAATATCACAGCTGTGTTAAATGTTTTCCTTGATAAACACGCTGGAATATTAAATCAGTAGGATTCTCTTAGAAATTTAAAATACAGTACTCACTAGTTTATCAGGATGATCAGCATCGGAATCATTCCGAATAATCGAATTTTCTCAATTAACTAAGTAATGGGTTAAAAATAAGTATACTGGTCTTAAAAGTAAATTATATTTATCACTCATACAAATACATGCACAATTGCAGTTCTTTTATGGATTTTCGAGTGTTTTCATATTTACATAGAAAGGAAAGTTAGGATTTAGGTTAGGTTAGGTTAATCTGGCCGGCATTGAGCCGCACATATACCGGTAGGGCCTTAGCTTTGCTAGTTGGAGCTCGTTTTTACGCGTTAAAGTAGACATCACAAAGGATGTCAACGTTTTTTACGAATTTAAGTAAAAATTTCAGCCCTAATTTTGAGATGTCCTCTAACTTCTCGAATTGGTAGGCTCCCAAGCATTTTATTCGTGTTATTTACAGTGCAGGACATCGGCAGAAGAGGTGCTCCAAGGTTTCCCTGGTCTCCCGCTCACGACATTTCCTGCACCTGTACACGCTAGTGATACACATTTTTAGGGCATGAGCAGCCACTAGGATATACCCCGTAAGCAATCCGGTAATAACTCTGCAGTCTTCCTTTGATAGCCGTAACAAGAAGCGAGTATAGTTGCTTCCGCCGTTTTCGCACATAATTTTTGCAGTTTTGCAAGTGGTTAACTTATTCCAGCTAGGCCTGAGCTGCCTAATCATATTATCGACCTATTTCGTTGTACCTGGTGGCATTCTTAGCAGTCTCATCTGCTATTTCAGTACCTTCTATGCAGCCATTAGAATAAAACAGAAAAAATCTCTAGAAGTTTCTAAAGAAATGATCTTGAAGAAAATTAGGGGAATGCCAAATATCCCAAATGCCTAATGCTCTAACAAAAACCTTGACTTATTTTATTTATTTTAGTGCACATGTAAAATAGAAATTTTTATTTAAAAAAATTTTGGTTTGATTTTTATAAACTGTAAAACGAATATAAATAACCAACACTGGTTTCGAGACTACGTTTTTCACAGATTTTGGAAGGATGTTTTAAAACACGCCTTCAATAAAAATTCTAAAGTGCCAGTACCAAAAAACTCGCATGTCACTTTTTAAAAAGCCCTACCTATTTTTGATAGTATTTTTAAAATGTTTTTTGTTTCTCCTGTAAAATAAAAAATTTGTTGGTTAGGGCCTTTGCGAATTAAGGTAACGATATGTACATATATATTAATCAAAATTTCGAATAAGCGGAATTTTTACTTAAAAAAAAAAACTTGCGAGTTTTTTCTATAGCCTTTCTCCAGTTAATCGGGAGTTCTCGATCGATCGATCGATCACAGATAATCAAGGTAACACTGTGCATCAAAAACATTTACACATTTGTAAGTATTTCCATTACCAGCTGCTGTGCAACTGTCACATTTTCCTAACACAACTTCAGCGATGTTTGTCAACGCTAAGAGCATTGCAATAACCGTTAAAAGGTGGCCTTAGGACGGCTTAAACACCAGTGCGAATATGCATATATAATGTATGCCGACACGAATGGGTGATGTGTGCGTGCATTTTAATGGGTTCATTTTGCTGCTGTTATTTTATGTCTTCTCTTTGTACTTACGTAAAAATAAAGTCTTCGTAGAGAGAATTTTTTTTTAATTTGTGACAAGTTTTTTATTCTAATTTCCTTTCGCAAACTTTTTTTAAAATATAGTTTAAACTATAACAAAAAAAAATAATAATAAAACGACTACGTGCAAAAGCTTAAGAAAGTTCAATAAAATTGCCACTTGTTAATTAAATTTTTTAGAGAGTTTTATTACGCAGTTTATCCATGCAAAGTATCTTCGAAAATTTTTTTTATATGGAAGACACTATCAGCAAAAAATTTACCAAAATTCAACGCGATTTTTTTGTAAACTTGAAACTTGCACTTGCTAAAATTAGAAGGGCTACAAAACTGCATATGTACGCAAAATCTCTCTGGAGTTGCAAATCTGTATGCAGTTTTGCACAAAGTTTAGACGTTATATTTTTATGTTTTTTTTTTGTTGTAGTATAAACGATATTTCTATGCAAAAAAAAAGAACTTGGCATATATTGCGAAAATTTTCTATACGTACATATGTAGTATGGATGAACACAAACGCATTCTCGTACTCACATATTTAAAGTTGATAGCCAGACACAGTTTTATCCTTGTACTAGTACCGAACTGGTTGTAATAAACTTATAACCGGACGGAACGGATTTTATGGAAATTGGCATTTGTTCTGCTAAATAGATAGAGTATATTTAATTAAGGATGTCCATGATTTAGCTTTCCCTGATTCCATATATACAAATGTGATGTTGCCTTTTTTAAGATATTTGCCTTTTTTTGCCTTTTCTACCTTTGGCGAGTAAAAAGCCCTTATTTCTGATAATATGAAAGTTTTAGACGTTCCATATTTAAATTGGGCGCCAATTTTATCAACTCACGTCGAGTGCATCTTTAGTACATTCAAGGCTTTTATTCATAGTTTTTTCCATCGTCTTAATTCAAAAGTTGGAAAACAAGTTGACAAAACCAGATGGCTAGTTTCAGTTCGGATAGTTTGTTGAAAATTTATTGATATATTGATAAACGTAAATAAATTTGTTTCCTCATGAATTTTTCAAATAAATCGGCTTTGATACACTGAACCAAAAGCACAATGGTTTTTTCAACCAAGTTATGGTTTGATTTTTTCATGGTCAATAAGCCGATTGTAACAAATGTGATTCAAGTTGAACATTTGAGAATAAATTTGTATGTATGGCAGCGGCTGAACGAGCAGAGGTTCTTGCTGTGCACCATAAGTGTAAATCAGAATTATTTAAGTCCATTCCGGTCAGTCATATTGTGTTCTGCTACTGTACATAGATTGTGACACATGGTTCGATAATATATCGATGGCTGAGTGGAAGATCGACCTATCTCGGCAGCTAGTTCGAAAACGCTCTATCTCAAAAAACTTTTCAAGAATGCCCTATTTCAGAATTTAATTGAAAAACACCCTATCTCAAAATTCGGTTCAAAAACGCCCTATCTCACTTCAAAATGTATTGAAAATATGCTGATATAGGGCGTTTTTGAATCGGCAGCTGAGATGGGGCGTTTTTGAAACGAATTCTGAAATAGGGCGTTCTTGAAAAGTTTTTTGAGATAGTGCGTTTTCGAACTGGCTGCCGAGATAGGTCGATCTTCCACTCAGCCATCGATATCAAACCTCCCTAAGTCCACCTTAAGAAATTTTGCTTCAAAACTAAGTCCATACGGCATTTTTAAAAAATTTTTAGAGTGTTGCAAAAGCTATTCGAAATAGACAGCAAGAAAGAAAAAAAAAACACATTTTCCCAAAATTGTCTTATGATGGACTTAAGCAGGTTTGATATATATCGACTCATATGCTCAATAAAAAAAGAAATATTTGTAATTTATTTTGTCAAACAACGTGGGTATTTACTTATGTACGTTGTTCTAAAAAACGTTCGTTGGCCTCAAAAGACCAAGAATACTTTTTAATAACGACGTATCTGCATACAGCAGTGTTAGAGACGTTGTTTTTGATCAGTATGCAAGCTACAATTCCGACTGAATTACTGGAAAGAGTGTAGTTACTGGAAAATTTTTGCAGATACCACGTTTTACATCAGGGTTTCTCGAGCTTCAATAACTTTATCATTATTTATAATTTGACAACTATTTTCGCATGTATAAATTCGTATTTTCAAGACGAATTCAACGATGTAAATAACTCATTTTTGAAGAAAAATGCAGATACCCACACATTTTAAATCTGTACGGCAGTATAGAGATTGAAGAGATTGATAGAGAGAGAGAGAGTATTCAAAAGAATATAACATCAGAAGCAAATCACGAAAATGTGGTTTAAAATTATAATCCAGAAGAAACAAATGCAGCTATTTAAACTGCAGAAAACAAAACAATATCATAAAAAGAACTATGTTCTCTTCGACATACGTCAAAGATAAGGTAGGAGTGGGGAATTATACGGCTGCCCATTGACAGCTCGGTTATATACAAATGATGATGCTTGAGAAATACATATACATATATGTACATATGTTTAAAGAGACTTTCATCAAAGTTGTCATAGCTCACTGTTGACCAGCTTTATTACACAAAGACCTATAGGTATCATGAAAGTATAAAAATGCAAACGTACATGCATATGTATGTACATATTTTCATCACAGACTTATGTATGAATATATTTCGGTACATGCATTTGCCATTCTTGTAAACTTATACGCATTTACATACTTAAATTCATAAATTTCTAATTTTATGTTATATCTGCTTTCTGTGATTTCAGGTGGTTCCGACAGCAACAAAGGCAAAAGCAAAAAATGGCGCAAAATTCTACAATTTCCACACATATCGCAGTGTATACACCTCAGAGACAAATTAGGTAAGAAGAATTTTATTTCGTTTAAATAAATGCACTGAAAGGCAAAAAGTTCTAAACAAAATGTCAGTGATATTACCAAATAGGCGGCCGCCATGTATGTGTGTACATAAATATACAAACGTAGACTTGATCCGCTTGGAGAACTTTCACTTTAATGTGATTTTTTAAATTTGATATATTCTCTGCTTAACATCTTTCTTTTTAATTTCTTTTTAACCCACCGAACGGGCGGCGTTCCAGTTTTTTTTCGAATTTTATGTTTCCCATAAGAGAGACTTAACTTTCGATATTATAATAGTGTATAGGGCTTGGAATCTCATGCAAATGAATGTTTTTATTGGGCACCTTCAAATGGAAATGGTTAAGTTAACTTTAAGAATCGTGAATTTCCTTTAAAATGGCATTCAATCGTTAGTGCATATTTTGCAGTAAATGCATTATTTTTCAAAAAATACCTGCTTTTGCCTATTTTAGTATATTTTACAATAAATGCATATAGTTTTTGCTTTTTTTATTTACAACCATTTAAATTTAATGCGAAATCTCTTGACGAAAAAATCCCCTTGACCAAAAAATTGCCGTTGAGGCACTCTCTTCTACCCCGGTTAGATCTCAACTTCTGGAAGACTGAGGGAGAGAACTAACCTATATATCTGATCAATACGAAATTACCCTAATATGGGTCCTGGGACATAGGGACTAAGCAATTGCTTTTCCTTAAAATTGCACTTAAATTTATTTGAACAAATCGAGTGAAAGGCCTTGTCTTGCCTTGTTTCGTGAAATTTGAGTAAGTACATATTAACATTTTTCTGTTGTTTCTGTGTTTCTTCCAGATATAAGCTATGGTTACGTGATAGACCAACAACCCATTGGCCGTATATTGTTTAGACAGTTTTGTGAAAGCAAGCGGCCCATTTATTTTAGGTACATTTCCTTCCTGGATGAAGTGCAGCGGTGAGTACTTGTATTTGCCTTGCAATTGATGTCATTATGTCAATACATATTATTAGAATATCTTTTTTGCTATCTTCAACTTCGAAATTTAGATATGACGTGGAATACGATGAGAATCGTATATCCATTGCTGTCGACATTGGTCGGCGCTTTTTGGCCATTGACACGCCTACGGCGTTGAATAATGGCATTTGTGATATCGGCGATGAGAATGATGTCAATGATGCCAATATCACCAATTCCACCGTTGAAAGTAACACTGCAGCAGAGACTGAAAATTGCAACAATACCACCGCCAACAAGAGCAGCAGCAACAATCACAAAATATACGAACGTCACAATGGGGACGAACACAATGGCAACGATCATCTACAGCAGCAGCAGCAGCAGCAGCAGCAGCAACAAAACCAGCAACAGCGGGATGACACTGCGATACAATGTAATGATGCCGGTGGCTCTGGTGGCGGTGATAGTGGTGTGGATGCCGGCGATACAGTTGGTGGTGGAAGCGGTGAAGGGAGTGGCGGAGGAGGCGGCTGTGACGACAACGGTGGAGGTGGTGGTGATAAGGAAAGCAATTGCCTGTATACTGCGGGCGGTAAAAAACTGAATTTATTCAACCGCGACGAACTAGTGCTGGATGTGCTCAACGATGATCTCATTGCGCGCGTACGGGACAAAATCACTAGCGGCAACAAGGAGCTCTTCGAACCATGTGTGACTGCGGTGAAAGCCTTTCTAGCTGGTGAACCATTTCGAGAATTCGAGACTTCAATGTATTTCCATCGGTAAGTGTTGCAGTTATATTTAATTGCACTTTTTTTTCAATAGAATTAAATAGCAATCAACCATTAAATTTTAGTAAAATAAAGTGTAAGTTTAAATCAGGTTGATTTTTGGCAATTTTTTTTAACGCATTTTTTTCCATACACAGTGGGCCGTATGAATAAAAACTATGCAATTGCTTTTTCTTAAAATTTCATACCTTTTACTTCAATTTTGTTTGAATAAATTGAGTAAAAGATCTGAAATTTTAAGAAAAAGCAAATGCTTATTTTTATTCATACGGCCCAGTGTGTTCGACAATTTTTTTTTTGTATGGAAAAAGTGCGTAATATATTCAAAATAAAACTTTTCAAAAATCAACAAAATTCTAAAAGATCTGATTAAAAGGTTGAAAATTTAGTAGCAATTTTGCAGAATTTTCATAGTTTTTGCACAAAGTTTGAAATGTGACTTTATATAGTTTTTGTTAGATAATGAGCGTTACTGTTATAAAAAAAAAGTAAAAATATTAAATAAACAAACGAAAAATAGGAAAAATTTGTTAAAATGTCGAGTCCCTATTTATTTTCCCACCACTGTAGTATTTTTGTGTGAAAACAAGCAGTAAACTGTTTAGGTTGGAGACTTATTTGCGTAGTAGCATTGGGCAGGAGAGATTGGTTGGGTTGGCGCTCCTAAATGTGCATAGGGATCTGGAAGTTAATCCTCAGCAAGTGCTAGATGAGCCAGCAAAAAAAAACCAAGGAGGATTCCATTTTCAATTTAAAAATAATGTATAAAATAAATTTGCTTAATATAATAAAAATTATATTTTCCAAAACCGATAGTAGACTCATTCATGTTAAAGTATAGGGCCGCGAGAATTTCAACGAAGACTCTCTAAATTCAATAATATTGTCATTTGCAATTGTGTATGTAAACTTTATTTGTTCAACATTTGAATAGTACAAATAGCACTGGTCTACAAGGGTTTTGCGAATAAGACGGGACCTGGTGTTTCCGAACGGATTTTTCGTGCTGAACACGAATCTGGGGTCCAAAACTTCCCATCACGTCACGTTTTCGAGAAAAAAAGGGGTTGAAACCCCTAAAAACAGCGTTTTTGGCCATTTTTGAAAAATTGTAGAGCTGAACCCTGACGTGCTACAAACTTTGTATATGTCAGAAATTAAAGGCTAAATCGTGCCCTTTCGAATGAGCCCTATGCCGAATTAATCGCATGCACCCTTAGATCAGGGGGTGTATTTGTGTCTAGGAGTCCAATTTTTATATCCACCATATTCGACCCGTCATCTTAAATTTTTAAAATCTAACTGCAGATTCGTAATCAGCGACTTTTAATATAGTTAAAACCTTGGCATTATTAATTTTCTATGATCGTTTAAGATTAAATTCTTTCTGTGATCAATTTTTCCTGCACCCCTAAACACAAATACACCCCCTGCTTTAAGGGTGCACGCGATCAATTCGGCATAGGGCTCATTCGAAAGGGCACGGTTTAGCCTTTAATTTCTGATATATGCAAAATTTGTACCACGTCAGGGTTCAGCTCTATAATTTTTCGAAAATGGCCAAAAACGCTGTTTTTAGGGGTTTCAACCCCTTTTTTCTCGAAAACGTGACGTGATGGGACATTTTTGACCCCGGATTCGTGTTCAGCACGAAAAATCCGTTCAGAAACACCAGGTCCCGTCTTATTCGCAGAAAAAAAGTTGAAATTTGTAGACCAGTGTAGTTATTCGTGTGCATAGAATATTTTGTTGCAAGAAATGAACGGTTGTGTGATTGCAATGTTTAACAAATCCATTTTCACCTTTCGTTACACAGATATTTGCAATGGAAATGGCTGGAGGCGCAACCCATCACCTACAAAACGTTTCGTATGTACCGCGTACTGGGCAAAGGTGGCTTCGGCGAGGTCTGTGCATGTCAGGTAAATACAAAAAAAAAACATATATATAAAGCAAAAGCGCACAATACATAAACCGGGGAAAGCGTAAAATATGCAAATGTATGCTTATTCAGAAGTACTTGCTACACATTTTTATGGCATTCATATTTTTCGAATACATAAAATGGCATGCATCTATGTACAGTGACGAGCAGAACTGTAACATGGTTTAACACTTTTTGTTTCAGCCACCGCTATATTTCCAAGTTCTAACGACTTTCATACTTTTGCTGTATATTCTTGTTGGTACAACCCTACTCTCTCTCTCATAATGATTTGAAGTCAATACAACAACAATAAAAAAACCAGCAGACACAAATGTAAATTAAGGCAGATGTTACAGTTTTGCACTCATATACTTTTAAGAGCTTTTTAACAATTTTCACGGAAAAAAAGCACTAATAACACAAAGTTCAGTAGTCTTTTGCCTGTTTCAGTTCCTGGATGTGATTTGGCATACCTTATTTGTATCTTTGTAAAAATTGTGGAGGTATATCCTTAGTTTGCTTTCACAGCTCATGTACTCGATTTTACGGACTTTGATACTTATTAAGCTGTGCTTTTAGTTGATTTCGCAAATTCTCGATGAGATTCATGTCCGCGGTTTGTGGAGGTCATTTGAAATTAGCAAATTTTCCCTTTTGTATCCAGTCTTTGCGAATATGTGCAGTGTGTTTTGGGTGATTTTTCAGCAGAAACTCTCATTTTTTCGACTACATCTTGCAAATTTTGTTGAAATATGAACAGATACTGTTCCTCACGCATAATGCGTACCAACGGACCAACAAAATTTTTGAAATACAACCCCAAACAATTAAGATCCTACCACTGTGATTCACAGTTTGCAGTACATGATGCGCTTGGGCTTAATTTGGGTCTTTGATCCAATACCATGCTCGGTCATCTGATTGAAAGCGATTAATTTAGTTTTGTCAGACCAAATAACCTTCAATTGAAACTTAAAAATTTTATTTTTATTGCATTCTGAACGGCCTAACATATCCCAATAGGCAACGGTTCGGTTTTCGTGCGATGCTGCGAAATGCTGCCACACTCGCACATGTATTATGATCAAATTTGCTTTTTTCTTCTTTATGATGCGTTTGCGCTCAAGTTGGCAATTCTTCGCCTCGCTGTCTATTGATTTGCATTAAAGTTTAATACCTTAAGCGCTTCTGTAATAGTGGCTGCATCGCTACTTGCTTCTAAGTTCACAAGATATCGTACCGTAATATTTTTTAACAGACTTCCTTTGTCCTTGGGAACACTTTAGGCTATATTTTTTCTAAGACTTAACATTTTTAAGTAGCAAATTCCAAAATTGTTTGCCACTTTTCATGCGGTCCCGCCTTTCCGCAGTAAATCTATTATTTACATTTATGGTTCTTGATTAACTATGTTATTTACTGGTGATCACTTCTTCAATAAATTACGATATAGAAAAAAGTCATCTGACTTCCAACTAAGTAAAAGATAACTGTCAAATGCAAAACTGAGAGTGAGTGCAAAACTGTAACATCTGCCTTAATTTACATTTGTGTCTGCTAGTTTTTTTATTGTTGTTGTATTGACTTCAAATCGTTATGAGAGAGGGAGCAGGGATGTACCAACAACAATATACAACAAAAGGATGAAAGTCTTTAGAACTTGGAAATATAGCGATGGCTGAATTAAAAAGTGTCACACCATGTTACAGTTTTGCTCGTCACTGTATATGTATTTACAAAAGTACAAGTCATGATACTTTTTCGTCATTTTACAGGTACGTGCCACTGGTAAAATGTACGCTTGCAAAAAACTCGAAAAGAAGCGCATAAAAAAACGTAAAGGCGAATCGATGGTGCTGATAGAAAAACAGATTTTGCAAAAAATAAATTCCCGCTTTGTTGTGAACTTGGCATATGCGTATGAGACCAAAGATGCGCTCTGCTTAGTGCTAACGATTATGAACGGTAAGTTGAGTTTCTTGAAAAAAATAAAATAAAATAAATAAAAAATAAAAAATAAAATTGCATAACAAAAGAACGCTTCCATTTTATGGTTATTAAGGTTTAACATTATTGGCTATACTTTGGTATTACATTGGCGCTTACAGCGGGTTCTTTGGGGTTTAAAGCACCTCCTGAAATTTTTTGGAATACGTACCATGTAAAGCAAAAATTAAATCATTTGACACCGTTAAAAGTTTATATGAAAGTAAATTAGCGAAAATGTTATTCTTGACAGAGTCGTGTCGAATGCAGGTCGTTTTTCGAGAGTCGAATCGTATCGAAAATTTCACGTCATTGCCTAAAATGTATACTCGTTTTTCGAGAGTCGAATCGTATCGAAAATTTCACGTCAGTGCCTAAAATTTCCACTCGACTAGTGTATGAAAACCGGAAAACTTGGCAGCACTGTATAATTTTCGACGATTTTCGTCGTTTACTTATTTTGGCACGACAGTAGACAATGCCAATGTTGTCGAGTCGTACAATTTAGCCTGATTTACGGCTTACGCAATGAGGCTGATTATGTTTTTGTAATTTTCGGGTCCTTTCGCACTAATTTGCTTCGCTTGAATCAAATTTCATTGTTCTTCTTCATTTATTTTTAAGTATAATGTTTACTTTTGCGAATAGAGACATAAAAATATGCTTTTGTGTGTTTGTTTGTATTTAATTTTTTTACTTCCGGGGTGTCGGTTACTTATATGGCTAAAAAACGTGAACTTTTTTCAAGCTCTAAAATCTGGTAAATTTGCATTAATATGTATTTTTTTTTTGTTTTTATGATGAAAATTATTCGAGGAAGTTTTTACTAGGGCTTTGTTCATTATAATGTAAAAAACCTTGTAAAAGTAAATATTTATGGTTCCAGTAAAGTTTTCGAAGTCTAATTAGTATTCACAACCTTTCCTAAGGGCTTATAGCCGAGAGTTATTCGAAAGCTTAGTCAACAACCCTACTTTTTTGGATGGGCTATTATATGAACGGAGCTTTTCGCAGAAGTACAAAACGGAGCTTTCAAAGACTCCATTGTCATTGCTCAAGTCCACAAAAAAGAGAGCTCCTGCTGTTTGTGTCAATTATAGCGCAACAAACCTTCGTAATATTGAATACAAGGTCCTCTCTACGGTACTGTGTGACAAATCGTTTAAACGAGTTTTAGTTTAACAGACACCTTTATTTACTACATTCTTTTACTACAAGTTTGAAACTTTTTTTTTTTAATATTCCGCAGGTGGTGACTTAAAATTCCATATCTATAATATGGGCGGTGATCCGGGTTTCGAAATGGTGCGAGCACGATTTTACGCAGCCGAAGTGGTGTGCGGACTCGAACATCTACACCAACAGGGTATTGTGTATAGAGATTGTAAACCAGAAAATATATTGCTGGACGATCATGGCCATGTGCGAATATCAGATTTAGGTTTAGCCGTTGAAATACCGGAAGGTGAAATGGTGCGCGGGCGTGTCGGTACCGTAGGTTAGTGCTAGAATTGGATCTTCTATAAATTTTTTCATTTCTAACTAACATTTCATTGTGAAGGTTACATGGCACCTGAAGTGATCGACAATGAAAAATACTCATTCTCGCCGGACTGGTTTAGTTTCGGTTGTTTATTATACGAAATGATCGAGGGTCAGGCACCTTTTCGTATGCGCAAGGAAAAAGTGAAACGCGAAGAAGTTGATAGGCGTGTGAAGGTAAGTGGTCCTATGGAGTCTTTGGAATATTATTTACAAAAAAAAAAAAAATGAAAAATGCTGTATTTTTTTTTGGAATTTTCAATTAATATGTTGATTTCTGAATTTCTTTTTCGCAGGAGGATCCTGAAAAGTATTCAAGCAAATTTAGCGATGAGGCAAAGTCATTATGCCAGCAATTGCTTGCGAAATCCATAAAAGTGCGACTTGGCTGTCGTAATGGACGATATGGTGCGCGTGAGGTGAAATTACATCCATTCTTTAACTGCATCAACTGGAAACGGTTAGAAGCTGGCATGGTGAAGCCTCCATTCGCACCAGATGTAAGTAAAAGATAAAAACCTTGTAAGTATGTTGTTGTTGTTGTAGCGGCTACTAAATCCCGCTCGGGTCGGTTCATCCGTCAACGTTGTCGTCCGTTTCAGCTAAGGGGAGGCCCAGGAAGTGCGCGTCTTCGACGGTCTGTCCATAAGGACAGGGGCGTTAGCTAGGTTTGGGTTCTCGGGGCATGTGAAGAGATGCCGTGAGGCATGCGGCGACTCTCCACATGTCGGGCATTGGTTGGGCACTTTCTCATTAATTCTGCTCAGGTATGAGTTTAGCCTGCTGCAATAGCCAGAGCGAAGTTAGGCTATTGTGGAGCGGGTCTCCCAAGGCAGACTAAGTTCTGTCCCGTCCACGTCAGGTGGATGTGTGCCTAGAACGGCATTCACAGTCTACAGCGCCTGTCGATAAGCTGACGGGTTTAATGAACCTCTGGACTTCGTCCGTCAGTTCGTAGAGATGCCTCCTGGCGTGCGTTGGCGAGGGCTCTTCTGCCAGCAGCTGTTTTTTTTGGTTGACCACGCCTGTGGCTCCCCACAAGAAACTGCTTGCAGAGCATCGTGGTGTGCTCCTTGATTGGGAGCATCTGGGCCTCGTCTTGAAGGTGGTGTTGGTGCGACATCAGAAGGCATCCGGTCGCTGTCTGAAGTGCCGTATTCTGGCAGGTCTGTAACTTCATCCACAGCGTCCTGCTAGTCCCAGGCGACGACACGGGTGTGGGTGTGTGGGTTCTGTGCAGCACGGGCGGGTGGCGGTTCGCCGGGGAGGCGGTCCGATTCGCACAGCATGGGGCCACGAACGACGTGGTCCATTGCCGGTGCGTACGTAGGGCCGAGCAGGTGCGGAGATGGCTCCACCCGTCACAAGCATTGCACCTGACCGAGGTGGAGTTTGTATCCAGTCGTCTCTGGCATACGCAGCAGGTGTAAATTTCTGGCCCTTCGAACAACGTTTGATGGATTTCGCCGACCTAAACGGTATTAGATTGCCGAAACAACAGCCCTAGGTCGGGTAAAACCCGAGTCATTTCGGTACGTAGAACCGGCTGTCGTAGGAAGTGACCTAGTAACTATCTTAAGTACTGGTGTGACTAACGACTCTATTCTATATGAGTGATAAATTCCCGTCACAGCTTTTGTTACGGAATAATATATGAAAAGAAAAGGCTTTCATTAATCGCTTCTTGTCTTTTGTTTCGCGAAAAACATCTACTTTATCTCGAACCTAAATTAGTTAATTTCTTTAAAGCATTTATTTTATACATTTGCAAGGTTCAGGATGTAATTATACTAACTAGTTGTAGTGATTGCTCTTTAGTAGATTTCACGTAATTCCGTTTAAGACTTAGCTATTTAAACAGGGCGCCAAAGAATGTCTTTACATTCCTGAAATGCTTTCATAGTCGATTGGAATCGATTATTTTATACATACACTCTGAATTACATACGTACATCCCATGCCGTAATTACAATCGCACCATATACATATGTATGTATTAATTATGTCGAACATACTTTGTATGGCGAAAATACACAACACGGTCACAAAAGAAAATTCCAAAAATCAACGGTTAGTCCTAGCTACTTCCAACTTGCATTTTATTACACTAAATTTTAATGATTTACTCAAAATCTGTACAAGAAATCTTATTAATAAGCTCAAAATTTTTACGAAAGTTTGCTGAAGTTTAAAACTTCGATTTTGTACAGTTTTTTGTTAAAACATAAATTATATTTTTATTAAAAAAACAGTAAAATTAAATAAGAAACAAATAAATTGTTAAAACTGGTCAATATGTGGTGCGCTTATAATTATGGCACGAGGTGTATGCAGTGGACGCTCTCTAACGTGGACTATTTAAAATCGAGGGGGTTCATGTTTGCGAAATGTTTCATGTAAATTAAAGAAATAGTTCAGTGGCATACAAATTTAGGCTATTTGTAAACAAAACCTTTTTTTTTTGTAATACGAGTATTAGTGAATTGCCCAAAATTAGAAAAAGTCAAACTCC